AAGTGAAAGTCAAGTTGGGCGCATTGCATTGTGGGATACAGTATTCAATGCAGTGTACTCTATATATTGACAATTTTGGTAAATACAATAAGTCATCTTAATGTTCTATGGCTGAATTCAGAATAGCACACTAGCATACTACTCTTACTATTTCAGTCATATCTTTTATATTGTGGAAATAAGCTTATGCTACTAGTATGCCCTTCCAAATTCATACCATTTCACAAAGTAGGCAGTATTTAGTAGGCAGTATTTAGTGTACACTGTGCGGTATAAGCAGCACACTAGTATTGTAGTATGTTTGGAAAACCTGTTTGGTAACAATTATTAGAGGCACAAATATAGCTTTCACAAACTTCAATATTAAAGTGCTGACGATCATTAATATTTTCAAACATATACAAATGGAAATTAGCAGGTCTGTTTCTGTGGCCTAAATTCACAGCTTCAGAAAGTCTAATTAGAGCCTCTGAGTTCTTGGATGCTGTTCATTGTTGTGAAACAAAAAGATAACTTCAAAAGCTTCAGAGGTTGCCAGCATGGATTCTTGCCAGAGGCTCATTATTAATAGGTCTTACTGGCTGCTCCACACAATTAAAACAGCTGCTGATAGTGTCTAATAAATCTATTTGCACTCGTGCAGCAGGATAAAAAAAAAGAACAAAACTGGCCTCTTTTCAGATTCCACAAATCTATAATACTTGCGCTTCTGAAAGTCATTCCCCACAATCAGCTCAAGCTGAATTTACTCATTATGTGAACCAATAATGGTCTCAGATCAGGGTAAAACACTGGAAAAAAAATAAACTTCTTGTTTTCCAATAAAAATGCACCGTTCAAAAGTTTGGGGTCATTGAGCTTTTTTATTTTTTTATTTTAAAGAAATGTATTCTTTTATTCAGCAAAGACGCGTTTGATAAAGAGTGATTGCAAAACCGCATAAAAAAGTCTTACAAAAATGTATCTTGGATTAAGCCTATTTTTCTTAACTGGAAAATTGTTTTAAGCATTGTATTAAGCATAAATGTGACATCATTTAGTAAGGTCAAACACAATTTGCACAGTTGGGTAGGAAAAATAAACTGGAAAACAAGACAAAATACTGATTAAGCTGATGTTGATTTTGCTTTATAAGCTTGTGACCCACTCACACACCCCTATATAGTTATGGTGGCAGCCACAACAACACAATTAATGTCATTTGTTCACACTGTTGAGTACAAGACTGACACTGTTTTCCTTTCAAATGCGTCTCTCTCATTAAGGGCCGAGAGCCCAGTACTTTCTGTGTTAAAGCTTCATCAGCTCGGTTCCCACAGGTCCCCTGAGCTCTGAAATGATACTGCACTCCCAATTAGGACGACTGTTTTGGGAAACAGGGGAGAACCCTGCATTACAGATGAGAGAGTATAATCAGACTTGTATGTTAATGCATGTTATATTGGGAGAGAATTCCTCATCTGGGGGATGCAGTGCTGTCTTAACCTATAGATAAGTCATAGATATGACCAATTTTAAAGATAACAGTTAATCACAATAATAATAACAATAAATATATTAAAATTCTGCCAAAACTACTACTATTTTGTATTTAATTGAATTATATGGCACTGCCTTTTTTGGATAATCAAGTGAATGAAATACCGTACCAGGAATGCGGGGAAAAAGGACAGCAACACAGCTGAAACGTTTAAGGCCCTGAAAGGTAGTAGGACATTGTTAAAATATCAGTGGTTCAACCGTAATTGTATGAAGCTACGAGAATACTTTTGTGTGCAAAGAAAACAAAAATAACGACTTTTTTCAACAATTTCTTCTCATCCGTGTCAGTCTTTGACGTGTGTTCACGAGAGTACCATGACGCATGCGTGTGATGCTGCTGAAGAAGGAGCCACAGGAAAATGGACTATTTTAACAATGTCCTTACTACCTTTCTGAGCCTTAAACGTGGTAGTTGCTTGCTGTCTATGCAGGGTCAGAAAGCTCTCGGATTTCATCCAAAATATCTTAATTTGTGTTCCAAAGATGAACGAAGGTCTTACGAGTTTGGATTAGGGTGAGTAATCAATGACAGAATTTTCATTTTTGGGTGAACTAACCCTTTAAATCAAATTGCATGATTAATTCTCTATATTATAGACAATGGTCTTTAAAACCCCATATTCCAGATCAAGAGTTTTATGATTCTGAGAGCCATAGTGAAAAGAGAGGTGACAAATAGAGCCATCGAGAAAAGTGACAGAGGCTGGCCTTCAAAAAACCTGGCACTGGTGTCAAAGTGACACATTTTCGGCCGGGCAGAGTCCCAAGCAGACAGATTTCTCATTGTATTCCACTCAAGCGCTCAGTTCACAGAGCAGCGCCTCTACAAAGCTGTCAGTCACATATATTGTGCCACTCCTGCAATGCAGAAAGCAAGGCTTTTACGTGGGCAACAATCTCATCAGAGATGCTCTCGTGCTATAGGAGAGGGAAAGAAACATGTCTAGAGGTTCGATAATGTACATCACGTTAGAAAAATCTTAACGTACCAAACACCTCAGAACTAGCAGAGGAGATCGATACCAATGGAAGTGAGGGGAGCTCCAGCGGGAAATAATTAACATCTCGCAGTTCTGAGAGCAGTGTTGTCATATGTGAAGATTTTCCTAGTAGAAAACCAAAAACCTGGGTAGAAGGAAGGGTGACCTGTGATTCTTTGGGTTTATAAGAGGGCATTTATTTTCCGTTAACAGATACAGGTTTATCAATGGGAGTTGCTGACAACGATATCTAGTTAATATCAATATAATGAGATTCAAACAAAACTGATTAAATGAAAACTTATTTAACATATACTTTACGTAAGTTTTTTTACCTTGAGTGTCAAATGGCCAGTGTTTTTCCCCTTGCAAACCTCTTTTGTAAATTTGGTGAGCGGGTACGAAATTATGCGAAAAGCAACAACCCTGATAGCACACAAACATCTTGGAGACGTCTATTTGATGTATGCATTTACATCTGCAAGATGTATTTTTTAGAGTGTTTGCTCATCTGCAATAGCCTACGTCTGACGTCTCCTGTCAGATGTCAAATAGACATCTAGAAGATGTCTGTAAGATGTTTATTGTTTAGAATGTTCGTAAAACTGCTCTTTCTAAGATGTTTATCAGATGTATTTACACAGCAGATGTTTTCCAGATCTCCAGATCTTTAGCAGACATCTTACAAATTGAAATGTGCAAAACTGTATTAATGTCACAAGAACATTATTAACTATTCATTTTTTATTTTAACAGGCTGCCATTTCTTATGATCTGGATTCCATGAGAAAACTATTTTACAAGGCGCTGATTGAAGTCCTAATGTGATTCAAACAAAAACTAAAAGGTATTAGCCAATTCGTCAAATGTAAAATAGTTACCTACTGCCATGAGATTGTGGAATGCTTAGAATGAACTGTAAAAAAAACGAATAATTTCAAATACCTAATCAAAATTGCTTTTGAATGTAACTGTTTTTGTTACATTGTTGTCAGAAAATTAGAAGTAAACGCATACATCTCACTGATGTCCGAGTGTCGCACTTTACTGATGTTTGCCATTCCAGCTGGAAAACATTAAATTAAGCAATTTTTCACTCTGCTCTCTAGGGATTCATAAATGAGACTCAAGGGAACCTCTGAACTACAGTGTTTGGCCATGATGAAAAATCACTTTGAGCCAAATCACAGAGCTAATAAGATGCATCTGAGCTTTGCATAATTCTGGAACATATGGCGGAATCCTGTTAAGCAAACTGGAAGGCAGACTTTCAAAACCCAGAGGGCAAACAAATGACCTGCATTCCAATAAATATCAGCTACGACTGGTAAATGGATGCATATGAAATGAATATTGACAAATTCATTACATTGAAGCCACGCCATGTCTAATTGTGATGACTGATGCTGACTGAATGGATGGAGCCATAGCCGATATCCATAAAATGTGCCCCTAAATGCGTTATTCTGTCAATGTGTTAGCTATTGATAAATGAGGAGCATTAAATTGTTGAATGTCCTTAAAATAGTTGAACAGACACCATACTGAATGACACATACTGAATGATAACAAGCATTGAACACAGATGGTTTGTTTTGCTGTACAAAGCTGTTTCAATTAGAAAACATCTCCAGGGGGCAAAGGATAAAAAGTCCATTCACTTTACTGACAGCAACTCTTTCTTCTTCTTTGAAAGATTTTTTCAAACAACCCACATTAAAGGGGATAAAATACTATAAAATTACTTTACAGTATTTGTAACAAAATGTATTAATTAATTAATTCATTCATTAATTAAAGGGATAATTTACCCAAAAATGAAATTTGCTGTTAATTTATTAACCTCATCCCATCGATGTAGGTGCCTTTTTTTTTTAGTAGAACAGTAAAGAAGATTTTTAGCTGAAACTGTGGTCCTTTGTACATTGTAATGTCCGTGTCTACAGTCACTATGAGAGTAAAAAAAAAGACAAGCATATCAGGGAACACAAAATTAACCCTTTAATGCATACGATCACACCAGTGTGATCAGACTTGGCTGGTCCCTGAAACGTACGATCACACCGGTGTGATTAGAACTTTCAGTGCGTCACGTCATCAACTGCTGAATTTAAATCCGCTTTCGCGCTTTGGCTGGCGCGGAGCCAGATCGGATGCGCTAAGTGCTTGTCATATTATCACAGATATTCATTGTTTTAACGGTCGCCTAAAAAAACTCACGCTGGGGGCTCAGCTAGAATATTTTAAACTCACGTGCGAAAGGGTTAAGACAGACATAATTTAATCAACTCCAGCACCACACTGATTGCTGGCAGGAAATAATTGCTGTTGTTATGCCTAACATCTCTCTCACACACACAATTCAAAACCCACCTTTACCAGAAGTTACGGAAAAGAAAACAGCAGCACAGATTTGAACAGTTGTATTATGGAGCTTCTATAGACCTTATGTCGCTCCGCCCATTTTCAGCGCTGCATTGGTTGTCTTCTGTCTTGCGTTTGCATTTCCACAGCGTGAAGGTATGTCGTACGACTTTGTTGACATCCGCTTCGAACATTACAATGTACCTTAACCTTTGTTAACTCTACAATAAGCAAATTCACTTAACCAGCTAATTACACTTTCAGAGATAGAGCTACCGCAAAAACGGAAATTTAAAGACAAAACTGAAGTTGGCTGCGCAATTGTTTCTCACATAAGGTCTTGCAATATCCTGATACATTCACCTGCGTGGAGAAAGTGAACATAGATAAACCGGAAACTGTATTCCAGGAGCACCAGAAACTTAATTATGCAAGACGTTTCTCAGATTTTCTCGGATTTTCCCGTTCGGGACAGAGCTTTCACATGCAATTACATTTTTTTACTGTTACATTTGTTCGTGTGCACTTTCACGAGCGAACATGTCTGATGTTTATGTGAAGTTCTTATGTTTTGTAAAGATGAAGTGCCGTACACAATTTCTGCGCTACTACTGCTACCAAACGTAAAATAATAATAAATGACTGTTTTCAAAGAAGTTTAATAAGGCTACATTGACTGGACAGTGTTAATGACGAAATACTTTACGAAATAATAACGAAAACTAAACTAATACCTTTTTGTTAAGAAAACATATTAGAAAAAAAAAAAAGCAATATAGTCTAATTGGAAAAACCTAAACTAAAATAATTTTCCTATGAATCCAAAAATAAAAAATGTCTAGTTTTTAGTTACTATAATAATAGTTATAATAATAGTCATACAATGCAATCTAAACAAAGTTAAAAGGACAAAATAAATAAACAAAAAAATTAAAAACATAATAGCCCTAGACAGATAGTCCCAACAAGAAGCAAAATAAAGTAAACTAAAAATAACAGTCATACAGTGAAAATTCAATTATATTCATAGAACAATGAAATACTGAGAATATATAAATAAACAAGCAAACAAACATACATGCATACGAAACTTCAAAATTCAAAACTTAACCCTGCAGACAGACAGTGTTGTGGGGAATCAACCAAAGTTGTTTTAGCCTTGAAGAAGAGAAAGTATTTTTTTTTTAAATGACACGCTTCATCTTTAACAGCATTAAAAACAAGATCAAACTGAAACATTCTGTCTCTAACAGTGTACTAACCTACAGCAGTCATAATGACCTGCTCTTGATGTGAGTTCAACACACTGGTGCCAAGCATATGGTGAACTCCATATGCTCAACTTCCGTGACATTATCCAACCCAAAAACGCTAGCCTATTCCAGGACAGCCTACAAACTGTAACCCCCGTGTGCAACTCCATGACACCAGCAAATGTAACGTAACACGATTTCTCCTCTAAATTACATTTTTTGAATATTGAATTCTATCATTTTTTCACATTTTTAATCCCTGTTGTTGATATCGAGTTGCACTATGTTGCTATGGCACTCTTTTATATTGCTCCCGCAGAAGCTGTCGCTGGCCGGATGGGAAGGATGCCATAACACGAGGAGGTGGAGAAAAGGCACCTACGGACCTTTCATTATCCATCCACAGAGCAGCTCTGGTCCAGAGTCATGACAGTGTCGGCAGTGCCGCCTCTGTGTGCTTTCATAGCTTTCGTCAGAAAGTCTTACCGCCCTCCTTCACTTTTCAAACAGCCCACAGGTCCTCAGCTTCACAAAGGACCCTGTGGATGGAGCACGCCCCCGCAAACCTGTCTCCCTCATTCTAGCTACAGACAGGAAAACATCTCAGAGTTGGTGTTCAGCATGCCACAGACTGAATCATACATGTCAAATATGACTATGAGTAAACAAGGATGACACATTTATGAGCTAATGTGACTTGAAGTCTCTGAAACAGTTTGTTTTTGTGTCGGATTTACACATCATAAAATGAAATGGAAAAACATGATGAAATACATAAATGATATTGTACAAAAAATATATAAAATCTCAATTATATATATATATATATATATATATATAAACAAACACTTGGAATAATTAAGTTCTTTTTACATATTTTAAAAGAAGTGTCTTATGTATTAAAAAATACAGTAAAAAATAATATTGTCAAATATTATAATTCAAAATAACTGTTTTCTATTGTAAAATATTTTAGATTGTCATTTATTCATGTGATAGCAACGCTAAATTTTCAGCATATTACTCCAGTCTTCAGTGTCACATGATCTTTTAAAAATAAATTCTGCTTACTATTGGTGCTCAATTATTAATGCTAGTTCTTATAATGATCAGTGCTGAAAACATTCTTACTGTGACTTTTAATCAATTTAATGAGTCCTTATTCAGTATTCATTTTGGTTTCTTTTTTATCCCAAACTTTTGAATGGCAGTGTATATTGCATTTTATACATTTATATATACATTTATAATATAAATTTTATATATTTTATATATTTTAATTCTACTTTCTTTTATTTATTTAAGAGTGTAAGATTATATCAGGGCTTGATTTTATACATGAGGAATTGATTGGATGGTAAAAAGTGGTTGTTACCTATCAGTTCAGAGCCAGAGCAAATGCAAATTTGCTAAAATAATAACTAAACATTCTCCATACTTAAAGTCTCTGCATATTAAGCTGAAAAAATGAGAATGAGAATTTTAACATTGAAAAAAAATGACACACTTCACCTTTAAGTAAATGTAATTCATTTTACCCAGTGACTGCTTATATAATTACATTTCAACACTATAATGTAAAGTGTGACCCAATCCTCATTAGACAATTAAATGATTTAGAGAAGTCATCCCCGAATACAAGCAAGCGTTGTACTGTGTGACGGCTCTACATTTTGTCTTTACTGTGGTAATGAAAGGAAGCTAATTCCCACAATTCATTTTGAAAGATGTCACTGCACGCAAATTGTCTGACTAATCACTGCAATTTAAGCACCAACCGCTGAATACAAATATAAATGGGCTTGAGATGTTTTTTTAATAAAGTCACATTTGTTGATGGACTTCAAGAATGGACTATTGCACTCTTGAAGTTTACAATGTGCTCTTAGGAGTG